AAAAGAATGCCACTTCCCGGAGTCGAATCCCCCTACGCCCAAACCACAAGTTCCGGTCCTAGCTGCCCAAAGGCTCTTGGGGCTCCAGACGTCGGCACATGGGTGTGCAGCACAATGGGGCGCCTAGGCCACAGAAGCTGGGTTACGTGACATCGCGCCAATCCCGAGGCTGGCTTCCCTCGGGTTTTCTCCTCAAGCCCAAAACAAGGTACCCTCAAAACGCCCGCAAAACGCAGAATAGCCGAGCCGCCGGATCATGGACACCACCAGCACCTCCCCAGACCTCGGAGTTGAACCAGACCTTCTCAAGTCTGAGGCGCAGGATGTTGGTTTAGTCCTCCCCTTGCTTTACCCACATTAAGGCCGTCTACGTTCACCCTAGACCACGCAAGACCTAACAACAGCAATGACAATACAAAAAGAAAAACGGCACGCGGCGTGTAACCAAACCTGTTGCAGGAACCTAGGCAACAAAAATGGGTGGGCATTTGGCAAGCTTCCTTTATCTGACCTTCCTTTTGTCCAAGAAATCCAAAACCTGCATAGAGGGATCACCCCAGTGAGCTGGCCATAACCCCCAGGGCGAGTGGCTCCAGGCGGTCCCGCAGCGTGAGGCCTGGCGAGAAAGTTGCCCTTGGAGTCCATGAGCCCGGCATCGTGGCGGCTACTTGGGCCAAGGCTGGCCCTGTTGGAGCCTTGTTCTCCAATGAGGAAAACTTTGTTAGCCCCTTTTTCGAGGCTGGCACCAATGTGCATATACATTTCTATGCGCGGGTGCGTGCACGACCTATACATACCAAAGGGAAATAAGGGACCCAGAACCAAAGCCTCGTCAATTTCATTCAGGGGTCCCTTGCCGGATGTCATTTACATGGGATTTCATGTCCGCAAGATTCCCCACTAAGAATCGAAGAAGCCGTGCGCATGCTCAGCATGCAGTTCATCTCCCCGCACCCGCGAAGGATTCTTGACATCCCGGCCCATGCACGTTCTCAGAGCAACAGCCTACCACAATGCCGTGCCAGGATAGCATGCTCAACAAAAGAACACCATTGCGTCTCCTGATCAGGTCAAATATGTCTAATAGACTCATATATAGAGTCTGTTTCTGGGCTCCCGTTGAAGTGACACCTTGAAGTGACAGCTTCAAAGTTTTGTGCGCCGCGTGACCGATCGGCAAAAGGCCTTGGGCATGGGAGATCATGAAGGCTGGGAGGCTGGGAGGGCTCTCCATATCCGCGGGGCCCATCATCCGCAGCGTGGTGACCGACTCCTCGGAGACGAACGCTGCGGTGATTTTCTCGAAAAGTTGGCCCGACCCCAGAAGAGGGCAAAAAACAACTCATCTGTTCAGATTCCTCAGGGAGGCTCGCAAAGCCAATTGGTGCAAATGTTTGACAACACCTGCAGAAATCAAAACGCGCGAATGGCGCTTGCACCAAGCCCAAGTCAGAAGTCAGGGCGCCGTGTCGTAGAAAAGAACGCCCACCCCACCAGCCTCCTGCAAGCCGGGGACGGTGGCGGGTCGAGAGTAATTAGTGGGTTCACCCAAAGAAGGCTAACCTCAAACAAGGCGCGCGCCTGCCTCAAAGCTGATGACAAGAGCAATGACACAACAAGAACTACCATACCACGCCCTCTCAAGCCGCGTTTCAACCTGGTAACAACCTGTCCTGAACTAGTTCCACCTTCTCCTGAAAGGTGCACCCACCTCTGCTGACCAGCACGATGCGCCCAGCCACATCATCAGGCTCGTGGGGCGAGCAGCCTGCGCTCGCAAGCGCCACTTGCGACCCAGCGGTGCCCCCAACCAATCCAGGCCATCCGAACCACCCTCTTAGGGCGGGGGAGCTCAACCCCAACCCTGTTCACGCCTTCCGCCTGCGCTGGCGGAGGCGCCAGCCCCGCCGTGAGATTGCCGGCCGGTTCCAGGATATCAGCCTGCGGGGCAGTAGCCCACGGACAGGGCACTGGGTGAAATTTTGAAGGGTTGCCCGGGAAGATAAGGGGGTGCTTTGCCTCTAAACCACAATTTAGAGGGTCATTTTGAAGATGTCACTTTGATGGGCCCAGAACAAGGGTGTAGAGTGGATTAGGGTCTCTTTTGCACCCACCTCCCTGCAGGTGTTGGTGGTAATTCCTGGCAGGTTGAGGGGGAAAGGACCGCAATGCCCGCTCCGTTCGCTAAGCTGCCTTCGCCGGGGCTACTTGACCAGCGCCAACCACAACAGCTCATGGGAAACGGGCGCCTCCCACTGCGCAGGCACGCAGGGGGTGAAGTAGAAAGGCAACTGCCCCTCCTGCAGCAACATTGCGCCGCCTGAGCCGCAAATCCCCCATGAAAATGATGCTGTTGAAAGGGGTGTCATGATTGCGCCTTACCCAACAAAAACATAGGAAACCGCCACAAAATGGCTGTGACTCTTGCAAAATGCTACACCTACGAGATCACTCTCTATCACACACGCACGCCAAAACCAAAAAAACTGTGAAATTTGAAGAAGTACCCGCCTCGATGCCAACCAAAAAAGCATGAGTTCGCATGTCTTCTGTTCGTATTTTCCCGTGGCCCCGAAGCACGACACGTGGCCGAGGTGCTGAAGGCGTCCGTGGCCAGGTGGGGGGCCTCGCTACCGCGGCAGCGCAGCGCCATGGAGAAGTGCTGGCCCCGTTCTACAGCGCCCGCCTCGGCCGCCTGAGGCTTTGGGGGAGTTGGATGGGTTGGTTGGATCGGTTGGGTTGGTTGGGTGGGATGGGTTGGGTAGGGGGGGGGGGGGGTTGCTTGGGGGGGTTTACGAGTTCTGATTGATAAACGAAAAATCGTGAAACTCGCTGTTCAACTAAAAAGGTGTCGATATAGTATGCATATGCAAGGCCATGCGCAGTACATGCAAGTTACATTGGTTAGGCCAAACCCTTGCTAGAACATGCTTAAGCCACAGGGTCTTAGTAAATTCGGCCCAACCCTGGTGTGCTGAGGGACTTGTTGATTCCTAGGTTGGGTGTAAAAACAGAATGGGCACTTCACTTTGCGTGGCCTACGTTAGTGCATAAAGCAAACACCGCCCAACCGCCAAAAAGGCCAAAACCGCCCAAAAGCTCAACTGCCAATGTTCAGAAACCGCGCTTCGCGTGTCCAAACGTGCACAAATCACCAACCACACTTGACCAGGTCTAGGTGGGACCACAAACTACATTGCATCAAGTCCGTCAGAAAAAAACAAAACGCAAAACATGCGGAAGGTGACAAAGGCCGACTATCCGAGTGGTAACCATCCCGAATCAACCAGTATAGACCTCCCTTTGGCATTTGTGTTTTCAACATGCCAAGGACTCCCATTTCAACTTGGCGAGACCCGCGCCTCAAAGGCCCCCAGCCCCGAGTTCGTGCCGAAGCCGGCAGTGCCGGTCACTTCTCCCACGGCCACAGGGCGGCAGGTGAGCACCATGTCTCGGCTCGCCCCGGGCTCGACAGACACCTGGCGATTTGTTGGGTTGGGGTGGTCGAGTCGGGGGGTCGCGGTCGGGGTCGGCCAGTCGGCCGCTCAGTTGGCTGTTTGGCTGGCTGGCTGGTTGGTTGGTGGATCGGTTGGTCGGTCGGTCAGTCGGTTGATGCCTGTGTGTTCTTTGATTGCTTATTCTTGCTTGCTCAGCTCGGCGCCAAACGGATGCACAACAATTTGGAGCCCCCTTCCACCACGTTGCAAGGGCGCCGACCCCGCCCCCCGCCAAGCGGTTCAACTGACAGGCCTCCAGCAGGGGCCCTGCAAAGGGAGGCGCCAGCTGGCCCAGCTGAACCCGCGCCGTGCCATTGCCCGAGTTCCAGAGCCGCACCTGAATGGCCACACGCCACGCTTGCCCACCGAACATCAACGTATGTCTCATGCTGATATGTAATGAACCTGAAAAAATGCACAGATTCTAGGGAACCGTCCGAGTCTGCATATCGGGGGTTGTACCGCCTGCTCCACCGGGCTGATTCCGGGTCAACATTTGGCCAGCCAAACGTGCCCCAACTGCGCAAGGACAAGAGGCAAAGGGTTGGCCTTCTGAAAGGCCAAACGTACCCTGCACCATGAAACCTGACCCCGGGCTTGCTAGAAGACAATTCTCCTGAATGGGCACTGACGAGTTCCATAAGCGCACCTGAAGCTGGCATCCAACAAACCGAGGCCCCCGCGGTGCGCCGGCCCTCGCCGCCCAGCGGCACTGTGCCGAAGTCCAAGTCTCCCTGGAAAGGCTGTCATGCACATCTCAACAAATAAATACAGACATATATGCTACCCCCCCCCCTTGAAATACTCAGGTTTTTGGCCAGAACTGAGTTTTTTTTGCCCGGACTGGGGGTGACAAATTCCTTGCGACTCTGAAATGAACTGACTGGACGCTCAACTCCATGCAAATTCCAAGCAAGCAGAAGTTAAGCTCAACGTTGAAGGAGTTGCGAGTAGGCGTGCGCGAAGTGCACTTAAAGTCACATTGGAGTATGCAAAGTTCACTTTGGCAGCTCCAGCTCAAAAACACAACTGTCCAGTACAAGAGTAGCGCGAAGTATGCTTTGGAAGCCTCAACGCGCCTGTAGCAGCTCTACTATTGTGTGTTTCTTATTTTTGTTTGGCAGCGAAATTCAGCAAATCATCAACTTGGGGAAAAGGAACTCATTCCTACTTCATGTCCTTGCGCAGTTGCATTTTCATGTTAACCCGAGTGTTGTGCAGAATTCCATGTACATGCTAGTTCAGTCTATTGGAAACATATGTTGCAAAGCAACTATCCCATGTGTGTGTGCGTGTTGCTTGTCTAACTTGGTTCAATCATCGCCAATAACAAGCATTGAAATTCAAGTAAGGGAAGGATATTCAGTTTAAAACGCTTTCGAGTTCAAACCAAATTCAAGTTTACTCGTTTGGAGTTTCTTGTGCATTTCATTGCAAAAATCAACTGGAGAAGATGGCTATTGTCCTTATCGAACTCCATGTGGTTTGAACCAAGCAAGAACTGAGCCAAGCCAATGCCTGGAACGTGCTTTCAATCATAGATCTTATTCTTGGCATACATGCTGTAAAACGCAGTGTTTTTCAGCATTTGCTCAGATTGCGTTGCCCTGGCTCGAAGATCGAGTATACAAGATTCCACAAACACATGTTTAGAACACAATCCTGGTCCCCTAAAAACTTGACAGTTTGTTCTGGACTCATTAAGGTTTTGCCCCCTGCATTGAAGATTGAAGATCTACTATATTTTCTATTGAGAATCTTCCATCCTGGCCAGCCCTCAAGTCCACAAAAACACCTGTAAAGATGTCAACAACATTTCCCCCCCTGGCCAAATGCAGCATCCTGGATTGAAGATTGAAGATTAAAGGCTCTCAGGCCACTTGTTCTGGAAATCTTCAATCTACCCTTAGGACAAACTGATATGTGCTAGCACGTGCTAGCACATCCTGGATTGAAGATTGAAGATTGAAGAATCCCAGAGAGAGTTGTCAGAGAATCTTCAATCTTCAATCTTCAATCCAGGATGTGCTAGCACGTGCTAGCACATATCAGTTTGTCCTAAGGATGGATTGACGATTTCCAGAACAAGTGGTCTCAGAATCTTGAATCTTCAATCTTCAATCTTCAATCCAGGATGTGCTAGCACGTGCTAGCACATCCTGGATTGACCTAAGTACCGATGCTAGAATTTAAGTCTAAAACGGAGTGCATTTTTGGAGCCTCGTTTTTAGACGCTGGAACGTGTGTTTTGCATGCATGTTTACAGCCAAAATGTCAATTTCTGGTCAAAAACCTGAGTATTCCAGGGGGGTACCACATATATACATATATACATATATATATATATATGTATACATGTGCATATATACATATACATATATGTATATCTGTGTGTGTGTGTTGTGTTTGCGTTTAATGAGTACTCATTATACGCAATGAGTGCATAGAAGTGACTAATGGCCGCCCGCGGCCGCATACCGCCTTCAAGTCTTTTTGCTGGTACCCCATGAAGCGGCTGGGTTACGGGAGGACCTCCAGAACGTGATTTGTTTGCCCAAAAGGAGGGCAAATTGAGATTCCCCTTTTGGCTGCGCCGATTATTCATAAAGTGTTTCATGGCCATTTAACCAGGTGGTAGAGCCAGCTACACTGGTTGGGAGCTCGGATGATTTCAGTTGCTGCCTGGAAAATAGCCTCCGGCAAATGCGGCACCCCCAAGATGGCATAGCTCACTGGCACCACTTCCTCCTGAAGCGGTCCAAAAACCACGATTGTAGCCGCGGTGCAGGAAAACTCGGTTCTGCCCTTCTTGGCTTTGGTGGGAAAATTGGTGACTTCCCCCGGAACTGGAGAATTGATCCATAGAACAACTGGAAACAGTAAGCTCTCCTGGGTTTTGCCCTCCTGGACAGGAGGAAATTAGTCAGTTCCTCTGGATTGTGTTGGACAATTGTTTTGACTGGACAAGAGAAAAGCGAAAGTTTTCTTGGATTGTGGGGAAAACTATGGGGATGAAGCTGGCAGCTTAAGGCAAGCCGAGCGGGCCCATTAGGAGGAAGACGTCCTTGTAACCGCTGTACGTGATGACGATCTCTGCCTGCCCGAAGGGTTGGCCGGGCTGGCCAGCCCCGTGTCTAACTGGTTCAACAACTATTGCTCCAACAGTCTCCTTCGGTTTTGGATTAAAGGGGAACAGGGCCCGGTCGTAACAACGTGCTAACAAAAGACAAAAGAGTGAATCCCAAGAAAATAACCGAAAAGAAAACATCCGTCCCCTTGTTGTTTCCTGCTAACCTTCAGGGGGACACCAAATCACCTGCCCGCCTCATACTCGCCCACCGCCAGGAACTCATGGCCGATCTCCAGCGGCACAGAAAGCGGAGAGCCGTCGGATGGCAGCGCCGGGGAGAAGTGCCCCAGCCGCAGCCAGTTGCGGCTCTCCGCCTGGCTTGGGGGCGACCGGAATTCGCGGCCAGGCGCCTTGTCGCTTGAAAAGCCCCTCACGACCCCCGACAAGTGGCCCAAAGCCCAGATTTGCCACATGCTGTGAAGCCGCCCCAGGGTAAAGCGCAACTTTGCGTAGTAGCCCTCTAGCACAATAGGCAACAGGTGTGTGAGCATGACCAAACGTAAACATCCCGAAAGCCCCGGCAACGGTTGAGCTGAATATAAATCTAGGATTCATTGACCCCTGATTCATTGATGGATTGGGTTGAATTGGATTGGATTGATTCTGATTGATGGGAGAAAGTCTCAAACACCTCATAGTTGAGGTTCCTTGTGAGGTTCCTTCCCTTTAAAAGCCATCTCGCAAGGGGACCGTACTTGGTTGAAACACCCAACCTTGGCTGAATGCAGGAGCCGACATTCCCAATTTCAGAAAGCCGAGGCAAAAGCACGACCGGCTGGTCAGCGCTAGTTTGGTCGGTCCCACCCTCAACTTGACTGGATTGACAGAAAGGGTCCAAATCTGTTTCTCTGTTTGCCACTAAGGTGACCTTGCAAAACAGATTGCCGTCAAGAAACTACTGGCGATTTGCTGGGAAGATCCCCGTTTTTGCCTTCCAAAAGACCGGCCCGTGGCCCGTGCCACCTTGGACACCATACCGGTGACGTCCAGGAAGCCGTCGCTGACGAAGCCGTCCAGCCATGGCACCTGCTGCGCAGACTCCAGAATGATGGACCGCAAGTCCTGCGCTAAACCCACACTGGGCCCGACGCTCGGTTTGGGCCTTTGTGGCTGAATGCCAAGTTGGGGGTGCGAGTCTGGAAAAAGAAAAACCAGGCAGCCAGTTGAAAGGGTGGTTTGGGGAGGCTTGAAGGAGCAGTATACACAAGAGGTTTCGAGACGCGGCCTTGTGACTCACACCTTTTCTTTGAGAGTCCCCTGTGCTTGCTCCGGTGAAGGACTTTGCTTTTCCTGGATGTCCTATTCCATCACTGTTTGCACTTCTTGAAAGTTGGGATGCAGACTGTTTCAACCCTGCCATGTCTGCCGCTGCCTAGAACCTCCTCTGACAGGCGTGCCCGCGTTGGGGGAATTGGTGGGCAGGCTGGCCGTGCAGCCGGTGTCTGAATATACGCTTGGGCGAACCAGTCCAAAACTGTTGAACTGCCCAAGCAACCTGATTCAAGATTCACACGGACGGCAACCGGCCGAGGGAAGGCCTCTTTGCAACCAACCCTTTGATCAAGCAACCTCGCTCCAGGAGAAAAGAACTAAAAACATACAAGATCCCTAGCCCAGGTTCAAAAGGGATGGGGGGAAGACCCTTGTGGCACAAGGACCGAGTCCTCCGAGTCCTCCCCCCCTCCGCCGAGTCCTCCGTGCCGCTCACGAAGCGGCCGCCCATCCAGCTCCACACCAACGCCGCAGCCCCGGCCACGTGGGGCGTGGCCATGGAGGTCCCGCTCAGCGCCGCATAGCCTTGCGCTTCGCCCGGGACGTGTAGAACAGGTGTGTGTGTGTGCGTGTGCATGCACAGTCATGCTTTTAGTCCCCCAAAGGCGACAACAGACAACGTGAGGACAGAACAAATTCTCTTATGATCATGGAGAGTGATGCTTGCAGATAGTTAGCCCGCTTACCATGGGGCAACAACAAACCGCTTCCTGGGCATCCCAACTCAAAGCAAAAAAGAAGCTAAAAAGGTCGCTACCTCAGGTGCCACCCCCATCTGCAAAATGGAGTCAAAGGACCTGGCTGGTGCCAATACTGCAGCCGTGGTTTGGTTTTGCTGCTTGGGTTGTTCAGCAACAAAGTCTGTGGTTCGAACCCTTGTCAGGTCGCTATCTGCTCCGTTCATTCTTTCATTCCGACAAACCTCAGACCACTTGCCCAGCACGCGCAACAGCTGCTGCCCTCGCCAGCCAAGCTGCCAGTCTCTCCAAGGTAGGTGCTGTAAATGTCCGTGCCAGGGGCAGCAATTTGCACCGACCGAACCCCATAGTTGCCTGAGTGCGACTGACATGCTATGCCAGGCCCTCTGTAGTCGTCACAGGTCCCTACAGTTTTTTGGATGCATCTCAGAACAAATAAGGAAGTAACAAATTTTGGCAAATGATGGATATTGAGGAAACGCGGGATGTGTCGGTAGAAGTTCCTGACAAGGCATTGCGAGGCGCGAGCCGCAATGGCTCTGCTACACCCCCTATGCTGCAGCAGCTGTTCGGGATTAAAAATGGCCTTGATGGCAAATGATATACATATATGTGTAATATATATATATATGTATATATATATTTTTATTTATTTATTTACATGTGCATATGTATACACGATTGCTTGGAGGTCAACCATCATGAAGACGCAGAACAAAACAGACACACATTTCGTTTGACCTTCAGCATCGAATTGTGCGCCGCAGCCATCTTCCGAAGGAGACCAAAATGTACGCGACCGGCGCATGAGTGTTTGGCATGCGCAGGAGACTTCATAAGCACAAAACATTTTGGCAGAAAGCTCAGCCCCTGGCGAACACGAAGGTCGCATTCTGGGGGCAAAGGAAAGCGATTCGCACCATGCAGGGAAGGGTTCAAGAATCCGACCATGGCCACCGTCAATGATGCATTTGAATGACCAGAAGCATGTCCACAGGGCCGGGTTGCCATGCGCAGCACACAAGCTTGATAGGAGTTTGACGCGCGCGCCAACATGAGTTCACTGGTTTGCGTGTGTTTAGTCATTTATCGGCCACGCAGCATGTGGTGATTCTTGTTCAATGGAAACAAGCTAGCCCTGCGAAGTAAATCAAAGAATGAAAACATAAAGTTGCAGAGGGCTGCTTTGGGATTTCGCGCGAACGCATTTGGACGAGATGATAGAACAGTAATTGCCATTGGTTCTCTAGTACCACTGTGACACAGGACGGGCGACCACTTGTGTTGATAGTCATGAACTATGCGACATCCTTCTCATGGCCTGATGAACGCACTGCTCAACGAGGTGAGGGCCCGCTTCAACGACGGCAACACTCCAGGAACACCTCACGCGCCACAGCTTCTACACAAAGCTGGAGTCGAGTCGCGACACGTTTTTCCCTGGCAAAAGCTCAGGCCCAGTATGGCAAGACACCCGACAGCATGGAAGGAAGGGGGTTTGAAACAGCGCTCAACCATCCACGGATCGCTTCAAAGCTGAAGCCACACGACAAGAAGAACAAAGCGGCGATGATTTCAACCACCAAGAATGTAACATTGCCTTCTCAGGGCAAGTCCAGAACAAAGATACCAAAGGTAAGAGTATTGACCTGCGAGCGCACCGCGGTAGCATCAACCGGGCGCAACCTCAGCAGATTCAATTGCTTTTCCAGTCGGTTGATGGTTCATTGCCATGGACATCGTCTATACGGATGCTTGTTATGAGGTGAACGGGTCAGATTTTGACGCCGTCTGAATCTGCAACACATTGCCAGCGCGGATCCTGTCAAAAGACTACGGTCAATATGTTCTTTGTTTTCAGGCCGAAAGTGTGATGGTTCATTTCTTCTCGGCTCTGTTGGCTCAGTGGTCGCCCGACCCCTTCTTGGCAATGATCCTGTCTGCGTGTTTCCTGACATGTCCTTGAGCGACTGGTTGGCACATGTGAAGAGATGGTCAAAGTCTTCGGTCGCCTTCAAGAGCATCAGGTTCTCCACCGCTTTGCTGCGCCAATCATCTGCGTAGCACGCACTTGCCTGGTCAGATCAGGATTGACTGGACAGCCCTTTTCTCCAACTTGTGTGAACAAGGCTTTGAGGTGGTGGTTTGCTTCGTTAGAAACCCAGTGATTCTGTTTTCGGATCCCCCGTGATCTTGGGAGGTTTTGCTGTTGTTTCCGGACTTCGACGCACGGATCCGCACAGGCTGTGCTCCAGCTGCGCGGCTTGTCTTGCAACTGCTTCCTGCACTGCTTGGAGATACTGTGGCTACTGTGCTATGATTGTAAGCGTCAAGTCGTCCCGTGATAATTTTGAGTCCCCGAAGCAAAGTCTCCGACTTGTCGCCGACTTGGAGATGAATGTGAGGAACTCGTTGTTCTTTCTCCGGTGTTTGAAGAAACTGAAAGAGTCGGGAAAGATACACGTTTGTAGCTCCCTTCAGGAAGTACCTCTTGAGCGTGTTCTTGTGAAAGCTCACTCCTTTATTGGGATGTCTGAGTTGCTCGTTGTCTAGCAACTCTCCGAAGGTGTGAGTGCATCGCCACCCATCGCCACCCAATCAGCCCTTGAGGAGAGGTCTCAATTCTCTCTGCCATTCAAATCATCTATGAGCTCCTCATATCTGCAGCAGCTGACACGTCCATCGCACCATGGCGGCAACTTGTTGACAGATTGATTGTTTCCTTGGCGCTTGCACATGGTCGGCCTGCGCTAGTCTAGACCTCCATGAAGACTCCATCTGATGACATCTTCCCTTTTCTGAAAGCCCCGCTCCGCTACCACCCGGAGGAATAATGCCCGCTATTGTCACGGTCCACTGTGTCCCTGGATCTACCTCAGAACAAACGAAGAAGTATCACATGACGGATATTGAGGAAATGAAGGATGTAGAAGTGCCTGCTACTTCTTTATGCTGCACTGCAATTGCTGTATGAGATTAAGAAGGGCCTTGAGCAGGCAATTGACATGTACATCCACGGTTGCATGAAGGTCCACCCACCCGGCATGAAGCAGAGCGATCTAGCTGGGCCCTGAGGCCTTGCTTACCAGCCCCTCTTGGCCGATGAACGCTGGCCGACCAAGCCCCCACTTCGGACGTCGACCTGCCCCGGCAGGAAAGTTAGACTAGACCTTGCCCATCTTTTTTCTATAAAAAAACCTAGGGTCCTCCCCACACTTTTAGCAACATTTTAAAACAGCACCTCAAAAAGCACATTTTCAAAAATCAACATTTTAAAGCAGGTAATTTCCTAGTAAGTTCATCCATATTTTAAAAAATAAATTTTACAAAATTTTTAAAAAATAAATTTTACAAAATTTTAAAAAAGAAATTTTAAAAAATAAATTTTAAAAAATAAATTTTACAAAAAAAAATAAAAAAAATTTACAAAAAAATATAAAAAAAAATCAAAAAATTATTCCAAAAATTTTGATAAATTATTATACAATAAATTTTATCACAATTTTTGTAGACATATTATGGGCAAGGTCTGGTTCATTCGTTTTTTTATATAATTATTCAAATCTTCTTTCAAACATTTTATATTTATACAATATGTTAAAATCAACTGCATCTAATTCTTCTTTGCTACAAATCCATTTGTTGCCATTCTTTTTTATTTCGATTAACCATTCAAATTCTCTAAAGCTTAAATACCACCAATTGGATGTCTTTTGACTGTATGAATAGTTTCCAGCATTTCTAATTATTCGTTGGTTGTTGGTTTGTTCCATATATTTTATCATTGCATGTTTTAATGGGATGTAATTTTTCGTTTCAATATTGTTTATCATTTTATGATGTTCTGTAACTTCCTTTTCTAACCGTTTTTCAGTTACAAATCCGTAACTGTCATCTTCTTCTTCTTCTTCTTCTTCTGTTTTATTATCATTATCACTCAAAAAATCATCAATTATTTTAGTTTCCTGTTGTTCAATATAAGTTAAGAATTCATTGATAATTTCTTCCTGTTCAACCTCTGTAAATACAACCATTTGTATGATAATATATATAATTAATATTTCTTTAAGTACTTTTTACAAGAAATTAAATTAATAAATTAAAATTAAATTAATAAATTAAAATTAAATTAATAAATTAAAATTAAATTAATAAATTAAAATTAAATTAATAAATTAAAATTAAATTAATAAATTAAAATTAAATTAATAAAATAAAATTATAATTAAAATAGCATAATTAAATTATAATTGCTAAAATTGGATTATCATCATTAAAACTTAAATCCCGTGCAATTTTACAAACAGAACCACTGCCTGAAAATAGTTCTAATAAATTCATATTATTAGAATTATTTATATTTTAATTTTCAACAATTACATATTTACCATCATCGCCCTTAATTATTTTATAATATTCTAATGTTTGTTCTTTTGGACTTTTGATTTGCCCCTTATTTAACATATCGCAATATTTTTTACGCTTCGTGTCATAATCACCGCTGGGTCTGCCTATCCCTTTCTTTTCAAAGATCTTATCAATCTTTTCCTTCTCTTCATTGTTATTTTTTGGTTCGTTTGCCTTTGCATCAAGTTTCTGGTCAATAGTTTTTATCATCTCGTACAACAGTTTAACATTTTTACTAACTGTCATTATCTTCTTTGATAGTTCAACAATAACATCATTTTCAACTTCAGACATTTCTATATATATTTATTTATATAATTATTTATTTAAATATTTATTTATTTATAAAATTGATTTAATGTAAAATCTACTCTTTAAGTACTAAATTTTCATCATTTGTTTAATAGTTTCCTGTGCTTCGTTATCACCATTATCGGATGGCGACGCATGCCTCCCCCATTTAAAAGTTATATTATGAACATCCGTTTCCAGATTTATACTGTATTTGGTTTTATCAATATTCATTTTCTTATCGTTTTTACTCAATTTGAAATTTGTCGGAATACACGAACATTTACAATTTCCTTTCTTTTGTATTTCTATTTCATTTTTCATTTCTAACATCTTTTTACACATAGGACACTCAAACTCGGTTAGTGCTGTTTCCTTAACAATTTCTTCTTCTTTGTCTTCATCTGTTGAAGAAACTGTAGTATCCGTTTTATTCTTTTTGTTTTTCTTTTTTCCAATTTATATTAATATTTACATTTTTATTTTTGATATATTGTATTCCTGATTTTATTAATTCTAATGTATAATAACAGCATTTCTTAATTTTATTGTCAGTTATTATTACTTGCTCTATATTCTCTACTTCATCTATTATATCAATATAATCTGAATAACTTCTATCCATATTAAATAATAAGATAAATTATTCTAATTAA